TCTCAGGGGGGCGGCGGGACCCCACCCCGTCGTCTCAGGGGGCGGCGGGACCCCACCCCGTCATCTCAGGGGGGCGGCGGGACCCCCAGATCATCTTGGGGGGGACCCCCATCACCTCGCGGGCGGTGGAACCCCCCTGGCCATCTCTGCAGGGGCGGCGGGACCCCCTCCCAGGTAGCCGGGTTCGCGGTGGCCCTCAGCTGCCCGCGTGGTTTCAGGTGCGGTTCCTCGTGGGATCTAGCCGGCCGCGGGGCGATGCCCGGCCGCGGCCCCCTCTGCCCGCATGGACGAGGGCCCTGTGCTCGGCGAGTTGTCCAGTCCCGAAGACGAGATGGTGCCGGACCTGTTCGCATCTGAGAGCGTGGCCCTGAAGGCCCCGGCGGCGGTCAAGCGCGAGGCGGACGAGTTCCAGGTCTTCAAAGACGCCTACCTGAGCGCCGCCGACCCCCAAGAGCCCCTCCTGCGGGCGCTCACCGCCCCGCCGGGCGCCGACGGCAAGGGCAAGGTGGAGCTGGAGGATGAGCGCAACCACCAGGAGGTCCTCGCCGAGTACCCGGGTCTCCCCGAGCTCAGCCCGATGGAGGACGCCCTGCTCGCCCGGGCCCCGCCGCCCGCCTACAACGTCCACTTCCTGTCCTCGCTGCTGGCCCCGCACAGGAGCCCCGCCGTCGTGCCCCTGGGCACCTGGCCGAGGGAAGGGGCCGCCCACCCCGGCGTCCGCGTGATTCCAGTAAGAGCCTCCTAGTAGATGGGCGCAGCACCCCTTTCTGCCTTCGCAGTGCAATCCAAGACTGCGGGATTTATGCTGAGGGTTCCCTCTATAAGCATTTTTCCTGGCGTCACATCCCGCTGGATTAGCTAATTCCAAACGTGGCACACGGAGCTGTGTCCACCCGGATGAACTAGGCTCTGTTGTTTATAGCGATCGTTGGCTCGAGGAAAGAAGCCCTATGTGTTAGAATAACTAGTATCCACGAAAACAAATGTAACACTGAGTTTTCATGTGTTTGCATTTTGCTTTTTAAAATTTATTTTGTTGTTGTTGAGATCCTCCCCCATTAACATCAATTCATTGCCCCCTAAGGTTCCTGTCTAGTTTTTCAAGTTGCTGTTGTCATTTTGATCCTATACAGATAGATAGTTCTTAAAAGAGCATAAAGGTCATGGCAGACATATTTTACTAGTTAAGCGAAACTACTGTTTTAAGAAAACTTCAGAGGCTATTTTTGGTTTAAGGTTTAAAGATTAACTCAGGGCAATAGTTTCAGGGGTTCATCCAGCCTTCATGGCTCCAGGAAGTCTGTAGTCCATGAGAATTTGAAATTCTGTTTTGCATTTTCCCCGTTTTGATCAGGATTCGCCTATAGACTCTTAAATCAACATGTTTAGTAATGGTAGCTGAGCATCATCCAGTTCATCCGGTCTCATGGCAAAGGAGGTAGTTATTTACGGAGGCAGTTAGCCACACGTTCCATATCCTCCAGCATTTTGCTTTTTAAAAATTTTTTACAAGGCTTGTAAGTCACAGCAAGGACTCAGAGTTAACACTTGTTTTTGCTGAGCCCTGAAATCAAGATGTCAGATCTTCCTTCTGCTAATACGTGATTGTTTTTCGAGCACATATGATATGAATCAGAGGCTATTTATTTAAATTCCTGCTAATTCTCAGCAGCTCCATGGAAGAAAGGCCTGGCAATCTGCTTCCAAAAAGATTACGGCCTAGAAAACCCTATGGGGCAGTTCTGCTCTGTAATACATGGGTCACAATTAGCTGAAATTGACTCGGCAGCACCCAACGTAACACACAACAATTCTCATTTACCTGAAGGAGGCTTTGCTATGGATGGCTACTGATCATTTTCTGTTTTGTTCAAATCAGGTTTTAAAGGAAACAAAGAAAAACCAAACCCAGTCCCGTCGAGTCAATTCCAACTCATAGCGATCCGATAGGACAGAGTAGAACTACCCCACAGGGTTTTCAAGAAGCAGCTGATGGATTCGAGCTCTTAGCAGCTGAGCTCTTAACCACTGCACCACAAGGGCTGTGGATGCCGGCTGCCCAAAAGGGAAAACTAGATAAATCACCCATTAAATCAGTTTAGTAAGTTACAGACAAAACCCACGTGGAACATTTTGAGTCCTCGTTGAGCTGGCCAGAGCCTGACTTGACAAGAAAAGCCAGGTCAGGGGGAGCTTGTGCTTCTGCTTTTCTGGGCTTCCTCTGGCGGGCGGTACAGCGGGGGCAGAATCACTGCTCCTGGGTGTGGAGGCGGGGAAGAGCGAGGCTCCTGGCCAGTGTCCCGGCAGGTGGGGCCCAGAGGAGTCTCAGAGAACATGCAGTCCCTACAACCTTCACCCGGGCAGAGATCTTCCTCGAACAGCCCTCTCGAGTGGACCTTGCTCTGCCTCATCAATGGCAATTTCCCAAATCCCCTATTAGTGTGATCCAATCTCGACAGAAGGCCGGTGTGGCAAAATCAAGGAGATATTATTTGAATTATCATTATTTTTTTGCCATTTTGAATTTTTACTAACACTTTTCTAATTCATTAATAAAATGAAAATGATTTCACATGGACATGTTTATCATTGAAACAGAATGGAATCGTTTTCCAGTAAACACTCAGGCTAAATTGCTAATTTCTTTCCTCTAGAAATTCATTCTCACATACTGACCTTTGTTTCTATCCATTCTGTAAAAATGAGACTTTACTGTAATATAGGACCCCTGGTGGCGAAGTGGTCAAGACTTGGCTGCTAACCAAAAGGTCGGCAGTTCGAATCCACCAGCTGCTCCTTGGAAACCCTATGGGGCGGTTCTTTAGGGTCGCTGTGAGTCGGAATGGACTCAGGCAACGGGTTTGTTTGTTTTTTACTGTAATAGAAGTAGTTGAGGTATTAGTTACATGGTTAAATTTATTACATAAGTATTTGTTAATTATAGGACATAAATTAAATCTCAAGTTTGATGACATGGGTGGGCATGGCAAGTTTCCCAAAGCAGGCAGCTTCGAAATGGAAGAAAATTCCCACAGCAGGAAGAAATTCTGAAAAGTTCTGTATTTCTAGAAAATTTGAAATATCTAAATAAAGCTGTAACTTGAAATACAGCTAAACTTTGCCTTATCTATTTTAAGATGTATACCTAGATGCTAGTCTGCTGTGCTAAGGGATTTGCCGGCTTGTGTTCATTGTTAGTATTTGTTTAGGCCTCTGATTTAATTCGGTGGGAAAATCTCCAAGTTTGAGTCCACGTCCACACCTCGAAAAATAGTTAACTGTTCTGTGATTTTATGTGAGGTCTTCAGGATGTGACCATTGACTACTGCACTTGACACCCTTCTTTTCTGAAGGACTTTATTGCCTCCTGGCCTTTTGGGAGGCTCCCTGGGCTCTGTAGAGGGCTAGAGAGAGACAGGAGAGTGGGGTTGAAGAGGGAGAGAGGCGTCGAGGAGTGATTCAAAATGTGGGTCTGCTGCTGTTTCCGAATCCCCCTTCCATTCTTACCCAATTTTAAAAAGAAGCACCGTGGTTTTGAAACACACAATTCTGATGGTAATTTTTTTAATTATGAAAAAATTATAATAAATTAAAAAATCGATTTTTTTTTTAGTTTTTTCTTTTTTTCAATTCTGATTTCCGGTAATATCAGTGGTATTTCTCCAGATTTTTGGTAATTTTGCTAGCGTGTCCTTGACTTGGACCTCGCTGAAGAGGAGAGCTTTAAAAACAAAGTGGGCAGCCATTGCCTACCCTCACTGCTTCATATTAATTATTCTTCTACTACTCAGTCAGGGAAGTTGACTCTTTTTATTTTTTTTTCTAATTTAAATCCCTTACATACATTATCAAACATCAGCAAGGATTTGGGGCTTCTTGAGGAAATGAAACAACAAAAAACCAGCGAAACAATCGGTTAGGCTATTTCATACAACCGATGAGGCTGCACTAAACGGTTGGCAGTTCAGGCGGTTTTAAGCAGCACAGACGGGACTTCCAGCTCCATCAGCGTAGGGGGCTGTGAAGCAACGGAAGAAGCCACCGACCCACTGGGGGATCCTCTCAACTGCGTCCGCCATCTTTGGAAACAGCATGAGTGCCACATCAGAAACATTTCTCCCCGCCTCACTAGCCCTGGTGTTCGTGGCCCTCAGCGTTCTTTCATAAGGTGGCCAGGGAGGCTGGTCAGGTGGTTGCTGCCCCATAAAGATAGCAATAGTTTTAGTTCTAGAGTCACCAGTGAGGAAAGAAAGGGTTAGGGTGCTCTTTACTTTTAAAATGTAACTTCACATAAAACTTGAATTTTAATTTACTGTATTATGCAACCAGAGTCCCCGGGTGGTGTGACTCGTTAACACGCTCAGCTGCTAACCAAAGGGTTGGAGATTCGAGTCCCCCCAGAGGCACCTCGGGAGAAAGTCCTGGTGATCTATTTTAGCAAAATCAGCCACTGAAGACCCTACAGAGCACAGTTCTACTCTGACAGTCATGGGGTCTCTGTGAGTAGGGATCGACTCAAAGGCAATTGGGTCTTCTATATTATGTAACTGCAAAACCCCATGTCTACAACATGTTTTCTAAAACAGCGACTGTTTTTTTTTAGGTTGAAATAAAGGAAGCAGGTGGTACGATTACCAGCAACAACCTGGAGGAGACAACCTTTCCGAATCCTCATACCCAGGAATCCTGTTGCAAGTTCCCATCGTCACACGAACCCGAGGGCGCCTCCGACTGTTCCCACAAGGACTCGAATCCCATGGTAATTGTGCCACAGAAAAGGCGTCTGGGTAACACGCTGGTAAATGTTTGGCCCCGGTCACCACTCAGTCTGATTACCTCAGTCATGACTTTCATCCTGTTACTTGCTGAATCAGTGTTTTTGGTTGTCTCGTCTTAGAAAGGCAGGCACTGGTTAAGACCCTTTCTAAGGCTCCTTTCGCCTCTAAGATTCTCATGTCTACTTAGTCTCAGCAAATAAGGCAAAGATCAGGGCGCTGCTGTCTTCTTTAACTAGAGAAACCACAGTTCACATCCATCAGCGCAGAGCGGGGGTCGGGCACCAGGATGGGGGAGGTGTGGCCGGGCTGTGTGGTTTGGGGTATCACTGGGAGGGGGCGCTGGGGTTCTCAGACACTGGGGCCGAGGCTGCCTCTCTGCCTTTGCCTCGCCCCCAAACTCTAAGTGATCTCAACTAACACCTGTATAGGAGGCGTAATCAGTTAAGTCACAGATTGGTTTTGCATATTATTTCGTTTAATCCTCACAGCGACTCTGAGGTAGGCATTATTTGGATCCCCCCTTTATGGATGAGAAAGCAGAGACGTTACATACTTGGCTTAAGTCTTCATAGCTTGTTAAGGGGTGCAGCTCGGACTCCAGGTCTCCCTGTGGTGGGGGACTAGGAAGGAAGGAAATCTGCCCGAGGATTCCTCTGGCGAGCTGCTTAGAGGCCGGAGGCCAAACCATTGCCTCTCCCCACAGAGGTTCTTTATTCCAAGACAGGGGCCCTGGCTCGAAGGCATTCACTTTAACTGTGAAATACTCGGAAATGAGCCAGCACGAGCTTTGGCTTGGCAAGGCACACACCAGTAGCTCTGTCCACGGCACAGCTTTCCCAGGCCACCTGGACAGCCATCCAGAGGAGGCTAGCCCAGCCCCCAGGAGGGGACTGTGTGGTTGGCAGATCTGGAGAGGCCATGCGGAGCCTGGCCCCCGCGCGCGTGACCCCCATGTGCCCCCGCGTGTGGGTGTGTGCCATAAGCACAATTCCAGCTGCACACCATGTTGTCGGGTGGTCTGAAGCTCTGGCGCGGGTCTGCCCCTCTCTACGGAGGCTCGTTTGCGTTGCTCGCACGGATGGTCACGCGGGCACTTTATGCTTCTTCGGGTGTTCCTGTCTGACTGCAGGCAACCTGAAGACAGAACCCACAGCCTCTCTGTGTATTCGTGGTTTTACCATTGGAATTAGAAGCTGCCTGTGGGTAGAAACCGCGCTGCTGGCCAGCCATGTGAGGCCCCTGCCTCGCAGCCGCGTGCAGGGCTATGCTCACCCTTAGCGTCCACCTCTGCTTTTGCTCGGCACTCCGGCCGTCACCTCACCTGCAGGTGAGGGCTTGTTCCTGGTTAGAATCCCACCCGGGCTACCTGAGCCTGCTACGCAGGCCCCGGAAGATGGACAGGGCTTCTTAGAACCTTCAGTTCTTGGAGGAGCCTTTCTAAGCTGCACTGGTAGGAACTAAGAACAGACATTAATACAGAGTGTGTGTGGCCGGAAATCCAGCGGTGCTGAAATGAAAGATGACCCTAAGCATGTGCGCAGCCACGGGAACGGGGTCAGGACGCACTCCCTCTGAGTTAAAGCCCTTCCTCCCGGGCCGGGGCCGCAGGTCAGCTCATTCCACTGACAGCGTAGATGGTGGAGCCCGAGAACACGCAGGAGGCTCTGGCGCCCACTCACCGGACCTTGACCCAGTCTCCGTGGTCAGACAGCTGCAGAGGGGACGTGGGCAGGCGCTAATGTGGGTGCGCTGAGAGCATCTCCCGAGAGGTTTCCCTGAGCCCCGTGGGCCCTCCAGACAGCTCGCTGATGCAGAGTGCGACATGGAGAGCGGACCGGTCGTTTTCCATCCTCCATTCCAACTCAATCCCAGAGAAGTCTCTTTCCTCAGATGTGAGTTTATTTAGGCTCGGATTACTGGAGTTACCTTTGAAAATGAAACCTGGTCGTTATTTTTCATTTTAGGTGATTTGTCAGTTGAAAGGGGGCACACAGATGCTGTGCATAGACCATTCCGGCACCAGAGAACTAAAAGGCCTACACCTGGTTCCTCAGTATCAAGACCCAAATAATTATCTACAGTCAGGTACAAAGAAACAGATTAAAAAAAAAAAAGTTATGTTATATATCACATATAAGTTGGTAAGTGGGTATGTTTGGGTTTTTATAGAGAGTAGACGTGAAATAGGCAGCTAGGTTATTCAACAGGCAGTTGGCAGACCTCGCAGCCCATCTAAGTGAGCTAAGGACAGAAAACATGTATCTCTGTAGATGAACTCAGAGACATTGCATTGGGCGTCTCACACGCAGAGAGCTGCCCTCCACTTGAGCTGCCTGCAGAGATTTTGATCCTGACAGGCGCGTACCAACCTGTATCGTTAATTCCACAGTGGGCGTGTCTCGGGTGAAATGCCAGGCTTTCCCAGGTTGAGTTGATGGTTCAACTGTGGTAAAACTTTATATAGCTGTTTATATAAACGTGAGTGTAACCAAGGAGAACGACCACTCTGGGTTAATTGCCATGAGTTTCAAAATAACTATCAAATGCTGACCTGTCTGGCATGTGTTCACTCAGAAACGTCTTTAAACCGGCACAGGAATGATGAATGACCTATAAGCACCTGGCCATCCTAAACTGCCTTAGGAACTATTAAAGAAAGATTAAGTGGAATAGTTTTAGGATTGTGCTTAACAGAAGTTAGAAACTCATTCTGGAGAACCGGGTACCTGTATGGACTGTACATAGTCACATTGCGCTAGACAGCAGGTTACCCAGGCTATTTCTTTATCAGTGAGTCCCTGGCATTGCCAGTAATTTAAAGTCATATCAAGTCTCCAGGTAGTTTCAAGTGGCCAAGCTCTTGGAGTCTGGGGCAAGAAGAGAGTGTGGCCCCTCATCTCCCCGCCCCGTCCTGACATTGTCTTTATGGAGGAAGCTAAACACCTTCACGGCAGGTGATTTTCTGCAGGGAGACTTCAGAGCCCTGGCTGCATCGGCTGTGGGTTTTCCGACTCTGTTTCCTGTCGGGTGATGCTGTGTGCTCCTCAACACGGGCAGGGAGGGGTTCCATCTCCCGTCCTCCTGCCCATGACAAAATCCCAGTTCCCCCATTTGCAGACAGAGGCTTTAGATAATATTCTGCAAATTTGTTTCCTTGCTTTTTAATCATAAAACCCCCACCGAATCAAAAAACCAAACCCATTGTCTTCGAGTCCATTCCGACTCATAGCGACCCTATAGGACAGAGCAGAACTGCCCCACAGGGTTACCAAGGAGCAGCTGGTCGATTCAAACTGCTGACCTTTTGATTAGCAGCCGAGCTCTTAACCACTGAGCCACCAGAGCTACAAAACCCCCACAGATCCCTCTTATCATGGTGTCTGCATACATGTTAAACCTCACCGTAAATGTCGCCTGGGTCCCCAGGTAAACCTGAAAGGATCTGAGGCCTCAGAAGGAAGTGTGTAGAGCCCAGTGGTGACTCGAGAGAGTAAGTCAGTTCTCCCCTTCCACTTGGACTCACTAGCACCCTTAGCAGCTCAGGAATCTTTCACCGTGCCCTTACCCGTTACCATCAAATCAATTCCGACTCGTAGAGACCCTATAGGATAGAGTAGAACTGCCCCACAGGGTTTCCAAGGAGCGGCTAGTGGATTTGAACTGCCGACCTTTCAGTTAGCAGCCGTGGCTTCTAAGCACTGCACCACCAGGGGACAAAGAAATGTCTGTCAGTGGGCATGATGAAGTGGTTTGGTCCAAACAGCTTGGTGAGTCCTTATGTCTGGCCATCGAGCAACAGTGTGAAAGAAGCGTGCACACAAATGGAAAGGAGTTCACGTGGTGTCCAACAGATGGCGCTGTGTTCCCCCTCAAAAATGGAACCCGTCCAGCGGCCCCTGTGTGTGTGTGCTTGGGAACCTGGGTGCTAACATTTTTTTACCCCCTAGAAGCTTGAATCAATTAGTTTTATGACCAAAAAAAAAAAAAAAACAACAAAAAAACTGGGGATAGCGAGTTTAAAAAAAAAAATACACGGACCCAAAAGGTTTTGCAGAATAAAAAACATAAAAAGAACCAAGAGAAGTTGAAAAACTGCACATGATAAATCCATAACCCGTTATACTTTCTGTACTTTCTTCCGTGTGTAAGTGGAAGAGGAACAATATATGCTGTCAACTAATTTTAATTGTTTTCCTTACAGAAGTCCCTAAACCAATGACTACTTTAGTAGGAAGATTTTTGCCGGTACCAGCAAAATTAAATCTCATTACTCAACAAGTGAGTCCTTGTTTTAATAAGAAAAAAATACAGCCGGGCATTATTGTTTCTGGAAATTTCGAGGGTCGCAGTTGGGATTACCCAGGAATAGAATTTATCTTCCGTTTTAAAGTCAGCAGTGAAAGCTTTACCATTCCTCACTGCCTTCAGCAGTGGGAGGAACAGAGTAGTCCAAGGCGTGGCTCCTTGCCAACCCTGAGACCCAGCGGCTCTGCCTTCTCCCACAGCCTCCTGCCCACCTGTGCCCTTGTCTTTGCGGCCCTGGCATCAGCACACTTGGTCCCTCACCTTCCTCGGGGTCATGGAAACGCTTTCTAAAAGTTTGCTTTTGTGATGACACCATAATACGCATCCGTTAGATAGAAAGCACTGGTCTCCTTTTCCGGCATCTTCCTCAGGAGAGCCCCACAGCCGCCAGGAGGCAGCGGCGGTCCTCACTGCCTGCGCCTGCTTCTCGCTCTGCCCGGCACTGTCGCCCTCTTGTGTGCCCTGGTTTGTCTGTCTACACTTGCCCGCGGGGATGTAAGCACCACAGGGGCGGAGGTCTTGTCCACTCTGTGATCTGAGGACCAGAGTGAAGCCGGCCTCACACTGGGCCTCCGCGCGCCGTCACCAGGGGGAGACAGACAATTCACACAGCTCACAGATACACAGATTTCCCGCTAGGAGAGCCGAGGAAGGGGCCTAGGAGATAGGGTGTGGTGGGCAGAAGGCAGGCTGCGGTTTTACCAGGTGGTCACGGTTGGCTTCATTGAGAAAGTGACATTTGAGCAAAGACTTGAAAGTGACGAGGGAGTCAACCACGCAAATATGGTGTGGAAGAACATCGTAGGCAGAGGGGCCAGCACAGGCCTAGGGAAGGGTCGTGTCTGCTGTGGGGACAGCAAGGAGGCTGGCAGGGCTGGGATGGAGTGCACCAGGGAGTCACCGAGACGAAGTCGAAGACAGTGGGGGCACTGAGTTTCCGCTCTGCGTGAAAGGGGGCCCAAGGATTTTGGACAGAGACGTGACCCCTTTGAAGGAAAGGATCACATTGGCCTGTGTTAGCGTGGACTCAAGGGAGGGGCTGGTGGAGGGGCAGAGTGAAAGCAGGTGAGCTCCGAATGCAGGAATCTCGAGAGGGATGCGGTGGCTCAGACCAGGTGACAGTGGAGATGAATCTCGAGAGGGATGCGGTGGCTGAGACCAGGTGACAGTGGAGATGGCGAGAACCAGTCAGTTTCTCGTGATGTTCTGACAGACAACCAGCAGAGGTTGCAGATGCATGGGATGCGGTACGTAAGACAGAAGAGCCCAGGTTTGAGCCTGATGGTTCAGTTCCAAGCTTTTCAGTCTGAACGACAGGAACAGTAGAGTTTCCATCAACTGAGACCGGACAGCTCATGTTTCGTGGGGGAGACTCAGCGTTCCCTTTGGACATGTTAAGTGTGAGATGCCCCTTAGACATCCAAGTGAGGACATTGTGTAGGCGTCAGATCTACAAGCCTGAAGTTCACCGTGAGCAAAGGCTGAGCTGGAAGGATTAAGTTGGGAGTTGCCAGCTATAGTATCGAAGGGATTCTGAGCCGTGAGACCAGATGAGATCCCTGAGGGGGTGAGTGTAAAGAGAGTTAAATATTGGTCAAACGAATACACGAAGTAGTACTTCTCAAATGACATACTAGCCAGAGGGGAGAGAGTATTAAGTGGTGCAGGAGATGGACAAGCTGAGCCTGGTGCTGTGAGCCCGGACGTGGAGTCTATCCTGATGCGGTGTGCATACCCTCGCCTCCTGGGCCTCCTCCACACCTGGACTTACCCTCCCTCACTGCTTCAGCCACCAGCCAGGAAGCCATGCTCTGGGCTTGCTTGTGAAACCCCCCACCTCCAAGCCCTTGCCCTGTGAAATGCACAGTTGGCCCACACCCACCCTCTTCCCACCTCCTCCCACCTCCTCCCATCTTACCCTGACTGTGCTGATGGTGGTCCCCATTTTAGCACCCCTGACTTCTTACCCAGCTTGGACCTCAGGGATGATCATTTCTGAAATGCATTTGCTGCCTCCTTGGAATCCCTTGCTTCCTTGCCAAACTCCCAATTCTGGACTTCTCTAGAGCCTTGCTACTCCAAGCGTGGTCCGTCGCAGGGAGCATTGGCATCGCCTGGGACCTTGTTACACACACAGAGTCCCAGGCCCTACGTGAGGCCCACGGAGTCACAGGCTGCACGGGAGCAGGACCCCAGGGCATTTGCGTGCACGGTGTAGGCCGAGAAGCACTGCCTTAGCCCTGCTGTCCTCCTTGGTGGCCAACCATTGCCCAGAAAGTCGTGGACTTCAGCGTATGCTGACCTAGACTTGTGACCTCTGTAGTGCTTCAGAGTAATCTTGTTTTCTCTGCTTTGCTTTGGGGCTAAGCAAGCAAGGAGAAAACAGAGTCATGGTGTCTGGTTTATGCAGCAGAGAATTGCCTCAACCCTGAGAGCTGGAAACCCTTTCTCCAAGAGAAAGCAAGACCCGGCAGACTGCGCACGTGAAGACGCTGGCCTGCCAGTTAGATATCTGGATGGCTGCCAAAGAAACACTCGTTTCAGTAACTTCTGGACACTTCCCTCCTGTAACCCAAGTGTGAGGACCATACTAAAGAGAGGGTAACTACTGGGGTGAGGAAGATTCTTATTTGTAAAATGAGAGAGTTGGGCCCAGAGTGATTTCTCAATGCTTTCCAGTCCAAACAGTAATTACACAAAATTTAAAAAGAGGCAGAAGAGAAAATGAAGGGGATGAATAAAATGTATGTTTTCCCAAGTCTGTATAACCACCATATATCTGTCAGTTTGTCATACTGTGGTGGCTGGTTGGTGTGATACTGGAAGCTCTGCCACCAGTATTTCAAATACCAGCAGGGTCACCCTTGGTGGACAGGTTTCAACGGGGCTTCCACACTAAGACAGACTCCCAGGAAGGACCTGGCAATCTACTTCTGAAAAGGCTGGCCAGTGAAAACCGTACGCATAGAAGGTGGAACATTATCAGATATAGTGCCAGAATAAGAGCCCCTCAGGTTGGAAGGCATTCAAAATATGCCTGGGGAAGAGCCGCCTCCTCAGAGTAGAGTTGACTTTAATGACATGGATGGAGTCAAGCTTTCGGGACCTGCATTTGCTGATGTGGCACGACTCAAAATGAGAAGAAACAGCTGCAAACATCCATTAATAATCTGAATGTGGAATGTACAAAGTATGAATCTAGGAAAATTAGAAGTCAAAAGTGAAATGGAATGCATAAAGATCAATATCCTAGGCATTAGTGAGTTGAAATGGACTGGTTATTGGCCATTTTGAATCTCCTGTGCTGGGAATGACAACTTGAAGAGGAATGGCATCATGTTCATCGTCAAAAAGAACATTTCAAGATCTATCCTGAAGTACAACGTTGTCAGTGATAGGATAATATCCATACGCCTACAAGGAAGACCAGTTAATACGACTATTACTCAAATTTACGCACCAACCACTAAGATCAAAGATGAAGAAATTAAAGATTTTTACCAACTTCTGTAGTCTGAAATTGATCAAACTTGCAATCAACATGCATTGATAATCATAGGCGATTGGAATGCGGAAGTTGGAAACAAAGATGAAGGAATAGTAGTTGGAAAATATTGCCTTGGTGATAGAAAACGATGCCAGAGATCGCATGATAGAATTTTGCAAGACCAAAGACTTCTTCATTGCAAATACCTTTTTTCAACAACATAAACGGCGACTATACACGTGGATCTCACCAGATGGAATACACAGGAATCAAATCGACATCTGTGGAAAGAGACGATGGAAAAGCTCAATATCAGCAGTCAGAACAAGGGCAGGGACCATCTGCGGAACAGACCATCAATTGCTCATATGCAACTTCAAGTTGAACTGAAGAAAATTAGAACAAGTCCACGAGAGCCAAAGTACGACCATGAGTATATCCCACCTGAATTTAGAGACCATCTCAAGAATAGATTTGACACTTGGAACACTCATGACCAAAGACCAGACGAGTTGTGGAATGACATCAAAAACATCATACATGTAGAAAGCAAGAGGCCATTAAAAAGGTAGGAAAGAAAGAAAAGACCAAAATGGATGTCAGAAGAGACTCTGAAAGTTGCTCTTGAACGTAGAGTAGCTAAAACGAAAGGAAGAAATGATGAAGTAAAGAGCTGAACAGAAGATTTCTAGGGCAGTTTGAGAAGACAAAGTGAAGTATTATAGTGAAATGTGCAAAGACCTGGAGATAGAAAACCAAAAGGGAAGAATATGCTCAGTATTTCTCAAGCTGAAAGAACTGAAGAAAAAATTCAAGCCTCGAGTTGCAATATTGAAGGATTGTACAGGGAAAATATTAAATGATGCAAGAAGCATCAAAAGAAGATGGAAGGAATACACAGAGTCACTATACCAAAAAGAACTGGTCGACGTTCAGCCATTTCAGGCGGTATCATGTGATCAAGAACCAAGGGTACTGAAGGAAGAGGTCCAAGCTGCGTTGAAGGCGTTGGCAAAAAACAAGGCTCCAGGAATTGACAGAATACCAGTTGAGATGTTTCAACAAACAGATGCAGCGCTGGAAACACTCATCTATACCAAGAAATTTGGAAGACAGCTACCTGGTCAACCGACTGGAAGAGATTCGTATCTGTGCCCATTCCAAAGAAAGGTGATCCAACAGAATGTGGAAATTATCAAACAATATCATTAATATCACTCACAAGTAAAATTTTGCTGAAGATCATTCAAAAGCAGTTGCAGTAGTACATTGACAAGGAACTGCCAGAAATTCAAGAAGAGGATGTGGAACGAGGGATATCATTGCTGATGTCAGCTGGATCTTGGCTGAAAGTAGAGAATATCAGAAAGATGTTTACCTGTGTTTTACTGACTATGCAAAGGCATTCCACTGTGTGGATCATAACAAATTATGGATAACATGGCAAAGAATGGGAATTCCAGAACACTTAACTGTGCTCTTGAGGAACCTGTAGTTAGACCATGAGGCAGTCATTCGAACAGAACAAGTGGATACTGGCTGGTTTAAAGTCAAGAAAGGTGTGTGTCAGGGTTGTATCCTTTCACCATACTTACTCAATCTGTATGCTGAGCAAACAATCCCAGAAGCTGGACCAAACGGAGAAGAACGGGGCATCAGGATTGGAGGAAGACTCATTAACAAACTGCATTAAGCAGATAACACCACCTTGCTTGCTGAAAGTGAAGAGGACTTGAAGCACTTACTAATGAAGATCAAAGACCACAGCCTTCAGTATGGATCACATCTCAACATAAAGAAAACAAAAATCCTTACAACTGGACCAGTAAGCAACATCATGATAAACAGAAAAGATTGAAGTTGTCAAGGATTTTGTTTTACTTAGATCCACAATCAATGCCCATGGAAGCAGCAGTCAAGAAATCAAAGGATATATTGCATTGGGCAAATCTGCTGCAAAAGATCTCTTTAAAGTCTTAAAAAGCAAAGATGGCACTTTAAGGACTAAGGTGCACCTGACCCATGCCATGGTGTTTTCAATTGCCTCATATGCATGCAAAAGCTGGACAATGAATAAGGAAGACAGAAGAAGAATTGGCGCCTTTTAATTATGGTGTTGGCAAAGAATATTGCATATTCCATGCTCTGCCTAAAGAATGAACGAATCTATCCTGGAAGAAGTACAGCCAGAATTGCCCCTTAGAAGCAAGGATGGCGAGACTTTGTCTCACATACTTTGTACATGTTATCAGGAGGGAGAGGTCCCTGGAGAAGGACATCATGCTTGGTAAAGTAGAGGGTCAGTGAAAAAGAGGAAGACCCTCAAGGAGATGGATTGACGCAGTGGCTGCAACAATGGGCTCAAGCATAATAACGATTGTGGGGATGGTGCAGGACTGGGCAGTGTTTCCTTCTGTTGTACAAAGGGTCGTTATGAGTCGGAAATGACTCGACGGCATCTAACAACAGCATACTTTAAAATAAAGCTTATTTTTAAATTGTTCTCGGCTGCTAATAGAAAGGTCGACGGTTTGAAGCCACCAGCAGCTCTGCAGGAGAAAGACCTGGTGATCGGCTTCTGTAAAGATTACAGCCTAGGATGCCCCGTGGGGCAGTTCTACTCTGTCACACGGGGTCGCTTCGAGTTGGAATTGACTTGACGGCACCCAACAGCAACATTTTTTAATTTCAATTTCAGGGGCAAAGGATGTTCACTTGTGATATGTATGAGTATCTCAGAATCTAATTTTATCCCGTACTTTCAATTTCTCTGAGCTTCTGATAAGCAGAACATCAGGGCAGTGTTGGTCTGGCGTCCTTCTCTCTGACAACAGCCTCGGGGAGCCCCACTAAAGAGCGATGTAACGGAGAAAGACGAGAACTCGGAAAGCGAAGGGCGTGGCTCATGTTGCGATGCTAATACTGCCTCCGAGTTAGTAACCATTAGCCATCAAATGGTTTTGAATAGAAAAAAAAAAAAAAATATTAATGCTTGCCAATGAGACTTCATATGCCAAGACCTATTATGTTATATTAGGACTCTACAAATAATAACAATTTAAGGTTATTTTTAGTTTAAAGAAACGTATAATTGGTTTTATTTCACAATTTATAGTTCATGCAGATGAAAGACATTTTTTTCTCTTATCATGTCCCTGGCCACCAGCTCCGGCTGTGCAGCCCTGCCCTCAGCCCTGCCCTCAGCCCTGCCCTCAGCCCTGCCCTCAGCCCTGCTCTCAGCCCTGCCCTCACCCCTGCCCTCAGCCCTGCCCTCAGCCCTGCTCTCAGCCCTGCCCTCAGCCCTACACCTGGAACACGGTTCTCTCTGGCCACAGTGCTGACCCCGGGGGCAGGGGGCCAGGCTGGTCTGCTCAGGGTGACCCTTGGGGACTGGATGATGTTGTAAAGGGACGGTGATGTAAACCTCTAGCAGAAAAAGCACAGCTTTTATCTGTGCCTGTGGGCTGAGGATGGGACTTGGAAAACCAGCCTGCTAATTAAAAACGCCTTTGCCTTTGACTCTGTGCAGCTGGAGAACGGACCCTTACCACCCGTGGTTAATGGATCAACTCTGCCAGGACCACCAAAATTGACTCTGGCTGGGTAAGGACTAAAGCAATACGTTGTCACTCACTTTAACGCAAGAGGGTCAGAGGCTTTGGGTGCATCTGTGGTTTTCTTCTGAGGTACGGAATTAGCGTTACCTGCCAGCCTACATGACTCCTAAGATGTTACTTGTTAGCTGGCTGCGTGCCCAGGATGGTGCCGCTGCTACCTGTCTGGTTTTGCTGTTGCTGCAAAGGCAGGGCTGTAACCTCTGTTTGTTGCACTTTACCATCCGCTGTCCTGTGTCACTGCTTCCCGAGTTTGTTGCCATTTACCGTTCTCTTTTGGTTTCACATCGATCTGAGCTGGTCTCTTTCTGTTTTGTAGTCACCTACGTAAGTCACGATGTGGCAGTTTTGTAGTCACCTACGTAAGTCACGATGTGGCAGTCGGTCAGCGTGGACAGTGGCCTGTCGTGTGCCTCTGTGGGCTGCCCCCTGCTGCCTTATGAGCTAAGTGGACTCACCCTCTGTCCAGCTGCTAAGACACACGATCTCCAGGTGGGCGTGGCTGCCTTTACCGGGGACCTCATCCTGCCATTTTAAAGTCGTGTTAATAACTGTGACTAATGAAACTAATGAAGCTGATTGGCGCTCTTCGGCGCGTCAGCACCGTGCACTGACAGAGGCGCGGCGGCCCTTGCTTCAGCCCGGTGGGGCTTTGGGAACACCATCTAATGCGTTGTATGTGGTCGGGTGGGCCCGCGGGCCCAGGGCCTGGAGGAAATCAGGCCAGGCAATCGACAGAGCCTAGACTGTGGCCTCTGGGGCTTCCCGGCCCCGCGGGGCCTGCTACCTGGCCCCTCATCATCCTGGCCTTGGGAAGTGTGAGGAGAATTGTCTGGGGCGTGGATGAAAGGCTGCTGGGTGCACAGGGCAGGGTCCTAGAGACGTCACAGAATTCAATCAATGCTCTCACCTCCGAGACTTGTCACTGAAGGGTTTTGGTTGTCCCGGTGCTTTGCTGATTCCGTTTTAGCAGTTGCTCCTCCAGCTGGTTCTAGGCCGTGCCCAGGCCGTCGGTGGCTTTCCATTGCTCTTAGCAGTTGCTCTTCCAGCTGGTTCTAGGCCGTGCCCAGGCCGTCGGTGGCTTTCCATCCCTCTGGTGGAGTGAGGCTGCAGGAGCTTTCTCCTGAATTCACGCTCCTGTTGTGGGTCAGAGAGGATGGCTTAGTATGATACATGCTCATGTCATCGTGGTTGTTAGAATTCCTGGACAAAACAAAAGCTACGTAAGCAACTCCCGGGTCCTGCTGATAGCGTTCCGTTTTCGGTTCACCGTGTGATCGAAGACGTTAGGGTCCTGAAGAGACCCACTTTCTCTTTCCTGTGACTGGGAGCATCATCTGGTCAACAGTGTTGCGTCCCTACGTGCCTCCTTGTGCCCAGAACATTCCATTCAAGTATCAGTTAGACTCCGATGCTTCTAGAACTTTATCCCAAGTGTGCGCGTGCAGTTACAGCGGCCTTCAAGGTGCCAGTGTGGTGCGGCCAACGCTCGTTTACACACAAGCGCAGTGACGAGGCAGTGGCCGTCTCGAAGCTCCCTTCTTCTTCTTTCCCTTCCCCACTCCCTCCTCCCCCGCATCTCTCCGTCCCCTTCCTCCTCCTTCTCTTCCTCTTCCCTGTTTCTCTTCAAGCCTGTCTAGACTAGATCTTCTCCGTCAGTCACAGGTTCTTTATTTTGAAGTAATCATTCAGGTTGTAAAGGATTTTTCCGTTATTGCTGACGTGCCGGGAACAACACAGGCTTTGTGTTTCTGTTTTTGCTGCCAGTAGTTACTCCGTGCATCGGCCCTGGCGATTTTTATCTCCATGGTCCTGATGGCGTTCTGGGATCTCTACCAATTGCCTATCTGAGTCAGGAAGCAGAGGCAGAAAACAGTTGGTCATTTGCCTTCTGTACGTGTTCCCAACCATGCCGAGTCGCTGTCCTCTTCACCTCTCAGATGCTTCATTAGCCTTCTTTTTGATCTCCATGAGATAACAAGGTCAAACTAGGTCTGAAGATATCAGACAAGAAACTGTGGGCCTGATACGGCTCCAACATGGAAACAGGTCAGCTGGCTCATGTATTAACTGGCTTATCATATTAATACATACCCTTTTAATCAAGAGTTACACCTGCCACTCAGTATAGCTTTACTAACCTGATTATCCAGCAGGTAATATATGAATTCTGGTACCTCCTTGATGCTAATGTTTTTGGTCAATCTAATGAACATCATAGTAAGGAATATTAAGAGTCCACTTCTCTGGAAATGTTTTTCTTGCAGATTAGGCCCTATCTCACTGTGGTCAAGTTTAGTTAGAACACTCTTCTGAGGCCAAGGGCTCTACCAGTTAAGCTGTCCAGACGTCTTCTAACGCCTTAATTTTCAGGTTCGCACTAAGAGAGTTGACAAGGATCATTAGATCCATGGAGTTTTTTTGGAGTTTAGTTTCCATCACGGTCATCTGGTCCCCTCACTGGCCCCTCACTTGTCCTGTGCTGCTCCCTCACGCGACGTCTTTGTCATGCTGTTCTTTCAACTGAGACATCCTCTGGACCAATAAATAACCCTCGCCACCTTAAAGGTTGATCGCACCTTCTACCTCCTCCACGAGCGTTTTGCTTTCTCTAACTCTCCGCATCTCTGTAAAGCTTCCCAGTCTGAATTCTTCAGCGTTCATAGTCAGCATCAAACAGTGTGACAGCTCATGATGGGACATCTGTGTTCTCTGGTTTTTAATGGTGTGTACCTCATGTCCCTGGCTATTTGGTGGACTCCTTCAGGACAGGCCCCATAGTGTTTTTAAGAAAATATCTTGATGTCCCGAAGCCCTCGGCAGAGTCCTGGCTGCGCAGTGATGCCTCAGAACGTGCCCATCGGCACCTGAGATACTCACTGGGCAACACTGTCTCCTTCCTCAGTTACGGTCAGGACACTGCTGGCGTGTCTCCTCTGCCCCACCCAGTTCCTCGGGGCGGGGGGATACCTGGCCACTGTGTGTCCCAGCTCGGGAAGGGTCGGCGGGGCCGTGGCTCGGGCAGTGAAGCAGGCATCAGCACCCTCCTCTGAGCATCCGTGTGTGGCCCACAGGTGGGTGGGCCACACCTGCACCTCTGGGTGCCCGCCAGGGCATCAGCTGCAACTGTCCTAGCTGTAAGGGGCAAAATCAGGCCAGGTGAAGAATACATTAACACAGCATTCAGTGATGTGGTTTGGGAACGTTTTCTTGAAAGTGGGAGACATCTCCAGAAGTAACGAGGCGCAGCGGTCTATGTAGATGTCAGGTGTGCCCTTCTGTTTCCACTGGGGGGCACAGACGGTGAGCTGAGTGGGGAAGGCTGATGTGCAGGCACAGATGGAGCCCATGCAGAGCAGAGAGAAGGATGAGCCGAGTTAGCATTTGGGCCTGACACCAATCCCGACAGCCGGTCAAGGGAGTGAGGGCACAGACCACAGGACAAAGGGATATGGGCATCAGTCATAATCACCTAGCAAACAGCACGAAGTCATTCCCACGCTCTGTGTGGCAACCCAAGACTGGCAGCAAGCATTAATAGTGGGCCAAGCACTGCTGTAGTTCTCGTAGGAAACTCAAGGCCAAGTACGGTGCCTTGCAGAGTTACAGCCTGCGTCCACCATCCCCAGGAGCCCGTTGGCAGAACGAGCTGTGCATAGTGCCCAGGAATGCCCTTTCCACAAGGGATTCTGCACAGTGCCTTCTTTTCACCGTGACCTCTTAAGCTTCTTACAGGGCTGACATTCTGAGCTCCCTCAGTAAGCATCATTTCTGAGCAATGCTTGGGAACTCTTCCCTATTTTTTAACCTGCAACTTCCCCTCACGGCTAGTAACATCCACAGACGTGTTATCTTCCCTCTCATCACGCCGCTGAAGACGGCTGATGGGCTAACCTCCAAATGCACAGTTAGGAGGGTTGCCATAATTCCCTCCTCAGCGATCATGAGACCCTCCCCCCAGTGATCACATGACGCACTCAAACACTTGGTGGTGACATCCCAGCATGCTCAGCTCTAACATGGGCACGACAGAATACAAACGATGCTTTATCTAGTGCTCTCCAATTCATGCTTGCCAGTAGTGTCCAGATTGGGGGAAATATAAAAAAAGAGCTGTTTGGTGGGTGGGGAGGAGGCACAAAATAGAGGTTTAGACAGGTCGGGGCAAGAAACTCCAGGAAGGCTTCTTGGGAAGGTGGCCCAGCGTAGGACCCTGCTCCCCACCCACAGCCAACTCTCTGGGGTGCACAGCTGGACCTGGTAGGGCAGGCCCACACCACGTGAGATAGGCTTACGTTTCCCAGGTCATGACCAGGCACCTGTAAATAGCACCTCTAGGTGCTTGGTGTTGAGACTTTCAGTATTTGTTCAAAAACACCAGCTACTTAGCAAATTCTCTTTTTGCAGAGTAACCATCTGAATACATTTTCTTTTTTAATCTTTATAGAGTAACTCTTAGTTCATGGGACACAAAGTCTAAAAAGCCATGTAACTGTACCAAATCCCAGTGTCTGAAATTGTAAGTAACCACAAATCCTTCGTTATTAAATAAGAAATAAGGTTGTTTAGAAGCCAGTAAGTGAGCAGAGCCCAGTTAAACCCAAGCGGCCAGCAGTGCCCACACTGCAGTTAATGTCCAACAATCGTGTCCCAACGCTTGGCGCAAACTAGAACAAGATGGCGCCACCCTTCCAGTGCAGGCCCGGTGTGGCTCTTTTGGCATCACTGGCCGACTGACTTAGTACCTGGCGCTGTGCACACTGGAAGTGGTGTCATCGTCTTGGGTTTGGGTTACGTTCTCCAGCCCCTCAGACAAATGCTGAATATGTCATCCTTGTTGAACATTAACTGTAACATTTCCACATCCTTTTTTTTTTTTTTCTTAAGTTTGATGACTTGGCTTATTCTTTTTTTTTTTTTTTAATTAAACCAGATTTAAAACTCTGGTTTCTTAGAAAGACTCCCCCAGGGATGCCAGCTCCCAGATGG